GTTCCCGTTAACAGTGGATCACGGCTAAAATAATACCTGCTAATGGCTCCCGGTTTTAAGCTGACAAACAGCGCAGCACGAGTGTAATAATATAATGCGAGCGCCGTTCGCGGAACCACGAGCGCGTCTATGCGTATATATGTACGCACGTGCGTGTGCGAGGGTGTATGTACGTTGGATTATTAGCGGCGAGCAAATTTGTGACGAATCGTGAATTATATCTTACGCGTATGTATGCACGCATGCATCCCGCTCCCCCTCCCCCCGCGAGAATCTCGAGAAACTTGATGACTCGAATCGTATAATTACAGTAATATATTATACCTTTTTGTTTTTTTTTTCTTCTTTTGAGAATAACTTAATTCAAAGTGTATATATTTCTGTCCATCACAGAGAAAAATGTATACCGTATTCAAGTAAATATTATTTATTTTAAGTATATCATAAGTTTGTATATCCGCATACCACAAGCATTAAATTTAATTGAATATATTCTGAATTTTAGCAAGTGCAGTATTTTAGTCAAGAATATTAAATTAAAACAAAAATTTGGTTTGCTTACTACAAGATTTGACGTAAAATAAGTTTGATTTTTCTTTGATACAACTTTACAATATTCTTGAAAATAAATTCTTCTCTTGAGTACATGATAATGAGATTTTCCAACGCTTGTGACGAATATATTTTAAGACTATTATCAAGAATATATTCTCTGTTGAAGAAAACTATTACTTAAAAAAAGAAAAGTAAACTGAGTAATCGCTTTTCTTGGCAGTAGAATGATATTTTTCTCTACGAATCACATGTTTTAATAGTAGGTATACAGATTACTTAACAATAGACTATTTATTAAATAATTAAATAATATAAAATTAAATTTATTTAATTAAATAATGAACACGGCGACTTGAGAAAAATTAATTAAATATGTACACTTTGAATTAAGTTATCCTAAAAAAAAAAGGTGATATATTTTCGACCGATACTGTAAATTCCGACCCGTCTTCATCGTCTTCTGCGCGCGTGTTCGACCGTCGCCTCTCGCACAATCGCGATTGTCGGGCCGGCGCGTTTCGTCCGCAACTTTTCCTTTCCAATTAACGAGTTCTCCGCGTTCGAAACCCGCACCTTTTTTTTCCCCATCCGAGGGCCGCCGCTCGGTTCGCCTCTCGGTTCTCTCGCGGTAAATTTTTTCATCCATCGTATTATCCGTCGCGAAACTCTGCCTTTTCGGGAAATCGCAGGGCGCCGGGCAGCCGCGATCTTCAAAGTGCCCTCTTTCTCTGCCTCCGCGCGTAATTTTATTATTCTCACGGTATTATACCGGCGCTTGTGTAATTTCGCGAGTGAAAAAACGCAGCCGGCCGTCCGTCGCTCGCGCTACGCACCCGCGGCAACAGTAATTTGTAGTTTTTATGAGAAATTCTATATTTGCCCGAGCTGTTCATTAACCCGCTCGCGTTAACCGAGCTGCGACACGGTAATAAGGGTCGTGCCGAGGAAAGGGGTGTAGCAGGAGGCGAGCGCAGTTGCGAGTTGGCGCCGAGCGGAAGCTGAGCAAGACGGAAAGGGGGCTGAGAGAAAGCGGATGACAGAGAGGGAAAAAGCTTGCGTGTATATGTGTGTGCCTGTGTGTATGGTACGTACCTAGTGTGTGTGTGTGTGCGTGAGAGCCTTCCACTCTTAATTAATTATTTCTCCGCGACAAACGCTAGAGCTAAAGTAGACTTGTGAGAGTCTGAAAAGAAAGGGAGGCGCGAATCGAATCGCGATATTTTTTCCCTGGCATTGATGACTATCAGCGAGCTCTTCCGCTGGGGATGTCGCGAATTAATTTCCAGACAAAATTGCGGCGTAAATGTGAAAAATGCATTAAATTTAAAAAAGCGCATTTTCGAGCGCGCGAGAGGCATTATGCGAATTATGTTCGCGTGATTTTCTTTGAAGAAATACTTTTCGCAAGCAAAGCAGCATTTTTCATAATAAATGAGCGCTACAGAAGCAGCAAGACGGAAAGAGTAAAATTGGAGCGTCGTGCACTCGACATTTCGAGTTTTCCTTTATTTACAAGTTTCCCGACTATTTTTCGATGTCGATTTTCTCTGTAACAAGAGCTCAAATTAATAATTTTCTTAAACATTCGGTTTTAAGTTTACGTGTGCGATCGAAAACGCTCAAGTTATTATAAACCTTACCAAGACTTAATGCAAGAAACAATTTAAAAATGAAATAAAATTATTCCAAGAATAAGTTGATCTTTGGAGCTTATTTTCAGAGAATAAAGTTGCTTTTTTCAGAATCGAGGAAGCCGGTGCTCCGCCTGTAGCGGCAGTATCCGCGAACCCAAGTACTTGACGAGATGTTGGAGCACCCGAGCTATCTCGTGTCATCCTCTCGCTGCTGTACACGCGAGAGTCGCGCTCGTTTCTCGAGTTACAAAACTCGAAGCCTCGCCGTGCCTAAAACAATATTGGCGGGGAGGACCGACCGGGGGGTTCGGTCCGGGTTGTGCACATTAGATATTTATTTAAGGCCGCCCGACACGGCCGCTTTGCTACTCGTTCGCCGTGGAACTCGACGCGATGCGTGTGTGCGTCGAGTACGCGTATGTGCGTGTACGCGTCATTGACACGGGTACCGCATAGAAGTCTTTGGCACTAAGTACCCCAAACTCGAAATGTTGACCCGGTTAATAGCTCCGTGTTTGATTAGACTACTGTAGTTCGTATAAGCCGTCACCGGTAATGCGAGTTTCATTAGTCGGTCTCGTGTTCCTCTCGTTATGCAGAAATGGATCGGATAATTAAAGGACGCGCCCTACCTGCGGAAAATTGAGAAACGTTATGTTTAATGGTACTCGTAATCGTGAATATCCTCTAAAACGTATCGCGCGAAATGAAGGGATTAAAGCGAATTAGCTTTCGAATTAGTTTTAGATTTTTAGAGACTAGACCTTTCTTGTAACTTTCAGAGCAGGTTTTGATTTGTAATACTTTTATCCTTTGACCGGAAAATGTCAATTAAGCTGATTTTGAAGATTCGCCGCTCCCGTTGCCGTCGTTTATTAAGATGAGCTCTGACAATTTCGCCGTTTTAGCTTCTCCCGGGATCTTGTTACGCGTTCAACGCGATCGTCATAAGACCCGTCAAAGGAAGCGCGCTTTTACTGCGTTATTTTCCAATTCACTAATTTACAGTAAATTCGCATTTTCCGCGTTAGCGATCTCGAAGTCGCGGAGAGAAAGAGGCGCGAGTCGGGGCAAAGGAAAATCAGAGGGCACGCTTCGTTTCGCACCGTGCGCCGAGTTGCAAGGGGGAAAGGTTAATTATCGAATAACAAGGGATGCCATATGAAGACAGATCACTGGAAAATTCTCGAGATTGTAAATTGTTTAGTTTTTAATGCGCCCGACGCGAACGTCACGATTTTCAATCTTAAGAGGACGAGATCGGGATATCTCGCAACTATCGTCGTAGAGATAATATATCGATAATATTACTATATTATATGATATGTCAAAATTGACTGATTTTTAGCGTTTAAATGTAAAAGCGGTTAATTAAAAAATGAATGAAAATTAAAAGATTAACATGAAATAAGAATGGAATTACCACACGGTATACTTTTCCTAAAGTTACAAGTTTTAATAGTCGTAATTAATCATAAACTAGCGTGTATTTAACGGATTCATATCATCATCTTGCAGTCTTTATACATCTTTCACGAGAGATCGATCTCTTTTGTAAATCTTTCCGCGGTATGAGTGCAAGTTGGCACAAATATCCGCTAAAAGAAGAAATCTCCCGCTAAAGAGGAGAGGAAGAGGAGAAGAGAAGCGAGGGCCCAAAAGTAAAGCTTGGATCTACGGCTCGAAAGGTAACGAAAGCCATTGATCCTGACCAACAAGGAGGTGATCGCTCGCTCGAATGATCAATAAAGAATGAGAGAATAAAGGAATTCGTCCGCAAGCCGACTTACACGTCTCGGCAACGATGTAACGAAGATCGCTAAACGCTCAATCGAGCGATCGATCGAGGATCCGGAAAATCCTCTCGTGCAACAGCGCGTGCGTCACTGTCAAAAATACAATTGAGTTTTACACAAACTGAATAAAATTGAATTTATTATTATGTAATACAAATGGAATATTAATTATCCTAAACTCGAACGGTATTTACCTTTCGTCTTCGAGCAATCAACTTGTTAAGGATTTAACTTTCAAGAGGTAACAGTTGGAAACTTTTTAAAAAAAATACACAAAAAAATTAATGGGAATTTATACTGTAAAATTGCCGTAAGATGTCTGAAATTTATGCAATCGCTCGAAAAAAATCAATAAGAATTCGTTAAATTTAATGAATAAATTGATCAAACAGGCGAATCACTTGTTTGTCAAATTTCTTCACTAAATTTCACGCAGCGAATTCCTTTCGCGATTCATACAGCCTACTTTCCACCAAACTCATCTACTTTTCACCGAGAGCTCGCAAGATGCAAATCTTGCGGAATAAGTCCCAGTTTTCCTTTCGGCTTTGTCGGGCACGCCGCAACTTTGCCAACGATAATCCCAAAGGCGATCTAGCGCGCACGCGGCCGCTAGATTCATCGTAATGCCATCTGTGCAAACGATTAAAAGGGCCCACGGGCCCGGCTAGTCTACAAACATTTTGACGTTCATTCACGTTACGTGAAAGAGCGTCTCTCACGCTCCTTGACATCGAAAGGGGCGAACCCACGACGCTTTGTACGTCGGCACTCGCTGACCTCATCGCAAACGCACTTTCATGAAGAATATCCGCGCGAATACTTAACCCTTTGTACGAGCAACGAAAAAGATACACGCTTTTATTTTCTACGTATGTCACGTATAGCACCAAAATTAAAACATATATATTATAAAAATTAAGAATTGATGTTTGTATCTGCAGATTTTAAATTCCCCTTTTAATTATTTATATATTTAATATATAAAAAGCGTGTCATATCTTCATTATTTTTTCTACATACGTTTACTATTATTAATACTATTTTGCATAAAATGATTTATAATTATTGCATGTAAAATAATAACGAGCCGGAGTGTATCGAGTAACGGTAGAATCATTGTTTCTCGTGCGCATCGCCATAAATCCGCGAAGGAATCAGAAACGTTTTAGTAATAATAATGTATGCAAATATGTACACGTCTGATATAGTCTCGATTCTATCTTGGATGCTCGGCTTTTTTCCACCTCCTTCTTTTCTCCTCTTCCCTTTACTTTCGCGAATATCGTTATTGCTATTCAGATATTCGAGATTCTCCTTTTCTCTCCCTCTATCTCCGCGGGGCTTTAATAAAAATATTTGTTAAGAAAACAGTTTCGTCGTAGGGAAGGGATGCTGCCCTCCTCCTTCGAGCAAGGCGAGTTATTCTTATATCCAGATTCGCGGCGTATTCTCCGACGGCGATTTCCATAAATGCAATAATTCGAGATAAGGCAACTTTCCGCGCTCTTATTTCCGCGATCTAGAACGAACGGAAATGTTAGATATCATAGTGTGCGATTTTATTGCATAATAAAAAAAATAAATTATATATTTATTTATAAGACACACTACATATGTATATTATAAGACGCGCATTAATAATCTCTCATAGATATATGTATATAGAAACGATATGTGTAACGTTTTACCCGTTAAAACTTACTTATGTTAAATTTACTTCTCAAATTTGTCCCAAAAAGGCATTCCACATTCCGACACATTGCCATCCTCTTGAGACGTTTCCTGAATCTGTGTCTCAATCCTTTCTTCATGGTATATCCGATATTCGTCATTTGATACTCGTCAACGTTTATATCGTAAGATTCGATAAATTTCTGAAAAAAAAAAAAATGATGAAAATCCTCAAATGTGAAATGTTTCCAAGATGTTTAAAAAAAAGTACAATACATGTAAATAATACCTGATTATCTTCGAAGATGCAAAAGATGTTATTAAACTTTGGAGAATTATTAGGAGGTGTTATTGAAACGCGACGAATACAACTGAACGTATTGTTTGCCGCATCCTGACATTTACACGCCATTTCTTTCATGCATAGCTACAAAGATGCACGAGATTAATTAGAATTTGTAGTTTGAAAGAAAATGGTTTTTTAAATATGACACTTGCTGTAACATTAAGATCGCTGTCACTCGGACAACCAGACGATGGGATCTTTTTAGATCTCTCTCCCCTGTACTCTATCAGAACAATACGATCTTGCGGTGCATTACGCGTCGCTTGAAACAACGTCATTCCGTCTGATGGATATTCTATACCGGCTATATCTAAGAGTGTGGCGAAGATATCCACGCTACTGACTCCCGCGGAAATTGTAGACGGGTTAATTCCTGGACCGGATATCAGTAATGGGACTCGTATATCTGTTTCATAGGGTTGCCGCTTATCCATAGGCATGCTAAACTGTCCTATCAAAATAATACATATCTTGTATGAATAATTATGTATAAGATCTGAGATAAAAAATTTGTAAAATAATGTAATTATCTCTTTTATATAAAACAATATAATTAAAAAAATTAACATTATGCTTTTTTTACAATAAATAGCGAAATTTAAAGGTGGTATCATCTACTGAAGACAGTCTAAGCGATAAATAATGCAAGAAACTGTCTTGTCGCGTGAATATGATTATTATGGTTACAAAATAAACAATTTACGTTTACACTCGATGACTTTTAACGTTATTGTAGCTGAAAATTTTTCGACACTATAAATCTTCGAGACTATAAAAGACAAAGTTTTAATAGACAAAGTTTTCAGTGCGTTACATTTGTTTCGTTTGACTTTTAAATCGGAGTGTACCATCGAATTGCCTACCAATGTGATATCCATTGTCGGAGGTATAAATAAAGTAGGTATCGTTCAAGAGATTTCGCTCTTTCAATAAATCGTGCACATTTTTAACGAGCTCGTCGACCGCTAATAAAGTTTCCCATCTCTTTCTATATATCTCGTCTAATTTTGGTAATACACTGTTTGGCAAAGGAGTTGGACCTTTTCTAACTAACCAATGTTTATCCTATTTTTCAAAAATAGAAAAATTATATATACCGAATAACTTGAAGAAAAATATCTGGCATATAATCATTAGCTCGATGCCTATACCTGATGCACGGGAACGTTAAAGTTTGGGGTTCTCTTTGCTTTCGTGCCATTGTATTTGTCATTATGCCTATCAGCAGGTGTAAAGGGCGCGTGAGGGGCCGGAGGTGCTAATACCATGAGGAAAGGTTGGTCGTCGGAGTGTCCATTAATAAAGTTTACAGCCAGATTATTCTAAAATATACATATGTACATACATATAATGAAACTTTAATTTTTCGTAACTTTAATTTTTCTTTTAAACAAGAAAAAAAAAGTCTAACATAAAATGCCATTTCAAATGATTACGCTCGTGTATATTGTGTATTACATATACTCACGATTACATCTGTAAGATAATCGCTCGTACTGTTACCATACTTGGCCTCGGTACCATTTATCGACAACGAATAATTGTAATATTTGGAATTTCCTATAAGACCGGCCCACCAGTCCCATCCCATCGGTACGTGAGCTGCACCGCCGACTTTTCTATTTCCATACTACGTTTACATCATATGTGTACATTAATCTTATTAATTTAAAGAGTCATACTTGGCAATCGAAGGAGAAAAAAAGTGAAAAATGTCGAGAAAAATAATACTATAAAAACGAAAAAATTGTTCATATTTTTCAATTTGATAGAATTCCGTAGAATTTTAATTTATAATAATAATAATAATTATTATTATTATAAATTAAATAATAATAATTATTATTATTATAAATTAAAATTCTACGGAATTCTATCAAATTGAAAAATATGAACAATTTTTTCGTTTTTATAGTATTATTTTTCTTATAATAATAATAAATAATTTTTCTTATAATAATAATAATAATAATAATAATAATTATTATTATTATTATAATTATTATTTTAATTTAAAATTATTTACTTGATTGATGATAAAACCGGATATCTTTTTCAAAACGAAAAATCGATTAGTACATGTACAATTTTCAATTGTATCTACCTCGTTCAAGTACTTTCCGGCGTAAAACGTCCTATATCCGGCAATTTGCAGGAGAGTGGCAAACGTCGCCGGTTCTTGGAATTTCTGCCATTTCGCGCTACTACAACCACCGGCGATAGAATTATTCACCGTCAAATGATTATGCTGATACCGTCCGGTCAGGATGGAAGCTCGATTCGGGCAACAGATAGGCGAAGCTACAAACTAAATACGCGACATTTATCTGTTTAAATCTTTCGAAGGAAAAGTATAATTATATTTTCTCACAGACAAATGATTACGCAATATATAAACGTCTGTGAATTCTCCATAATATTTATATTAAAAGACTTACACAATTCGTGAACGTTGCACCTCGAGATCCTATGAGATTCAGAGTATTTACCATCGGCGTCTGAAAATTTAAAATTAAATGCACACGAGTGTTTCCGAAATGATAATTTATCGGTTTCGCAATCGAAGTGATTTTAACGTTATTTCGTAATTTTTTCCTCTTTTGCAGCGCGGCCTCTCGTGAAAAAAGTTACATCGCGAATAAGAGTAATTAAATAGAAAATTTAAAGAAACCTTATATTATACGCGTATAATAAATGTTAACAAAATCGAAACACTTTACCATGCCATCTAACGTCGAGTCCTGATCGTCGGTAATAATCAGCACGACATTCGCCGGGGTAACCGGCGCCGCTAGATAACCCAAGAAAAAAAGGAGAATCGTTAGATGCATTTTCATCGGCGTCACGGGACTTCCCGGTTGATTATGCGACATGGCAAGTGCCATGAATTATTTTTTGGCCCTCCAGCCGGGTATAAATAATCTTAATTCGCTCGCTCGAGACAAGACGAGATTAGACGTGATATCGAACGCGATGGCACTTTGCCAGACGTTTGAAAAATCGACGTGTTATTAATCACGTTATTAATACCGCGAAGCGCACATCGAGATAAATATAACGTATGCGACAGCGATGCGCGTCCAACTGAACGAGAAGAACGCTAGAAGATTACATCGCCGCGTACTCGTTGAACTAGAGGCAACCGATGTACCCGCCTCGACGTAAAGATACCAGAGTCGGATACGTCAGCGGACGGTCGAGTGCCGGTCGACGTCGCTAGATGGCGCTCTTGCGCGCGAAAGGTCGGCCCTCTTGCCCTCTAACTTTATCCACGGCCGAGTCACAGGTAACAATCGACCGATAGAGGGCGTTGAGGGAAGAAAGTTCCGGTGCGCTCCTCGGCGCTCGCCGTACGCCCGGAGTCGCGCACACGGCGCACAACAAACCGACCCAACGAGCACGTTGCATGTCCCACGCGCGTTACCTCGGCGGTGTACCACGAGCCTGTCCACCCACGTGCGCCGGACGCATGCACGATATATGCGTCGCCCCGCGACACGCAACCTGTCGCGATATTCATCGGCGTGCGACCCATCTACAAATTCTACGACCCCCGGCGTTCCGGAGAATCGCCGAGGGATAAGCGCGGTAAGTTTTGTCAGGCTCGGTAAACCATCCGCATCCGCTCGACGCGGTCGCTTTTCCTCGCGCGTTCCACGTGCGATTCTTCCTCGTTATCGCTCTCTGTCAAATTTATCTCGCGCGATTGATAATCGGATCGGCGGCGGCGGCGGCAGGTAGCGCGGCGCCAGTCGTCGCGCGCATGCGCGTCGTTGTATTCCCGCGCATGCGCACCGCCGTGCTCGCGCGCATGTGCTCGGCCGTCGGCGCGTAGGATCGCGAGACGCCGTGGCTCTCGCGGAAAGGACCAATGAGAGCGTCCGCTCGCGACGGGATAGCCAATCGGCGCTCCCGGCTACGTCGCCGTAGTATCGAGTCGCTGTCTGGCACGCCCTACAACTTCCTCCATTGTCCTTCTTTCCGGGATTCTCTGCGAGGAAGGATGGCTCAGAACAATTACTTCGGCTTTACTCACGGCGGAACGCAATATGGGTAGGAAATCGCTCGTCTTCGTTATCGTTAAGTAGCTAGTGTCGAGATAAGCCAAGATTTACGGCCGCGAGCGCGAGCGCGACAGTGATAAAAACGTCGTCGAACGTCGACACGTCGTCCAGCGACCCAGCCGGCTCGGCGGCCATTTCTCGTGTCGCGAGAGAATAGCGTCCGTCGAGCGTTTCCGAGCGTGGCCGAGTAAGGCCCCTGTCGAGCTTTCTAGAATTCACATGGCACTCCACGCGTTAACTCTCGGTGGACCTCGCGTGTCTTTCGGGTCCTAATCTACCTGCTTCTCTATCTACTGTTATTTTCAACAGGGCCACCAGCGCTGCCGCTTATCAGACCGGGCAAGCGGGATACGCGGTAACCCCGGCGGCGACCGCCGCTACTTACACTCAACGACCCGCTGCCGCTGCTGCGACTGGCTACGAAACCTACCAGGCAGCTGCCGCTGCAGCCGCGACTGGGACAACGTACGCAGGTAATGTTTCATTATTCAACCTTTACACGAGTCTTGTGGATTGTGTTTGACGAAAATGCAATCACGGGTCTACAAGAGAAATTTGTGTTAAATCTAGAGATATGTGTATCAATTGCATGTACCAATTATATTTTTATACATAATTGTTGGATTTATCAAATATATATAGATTGAATTGGTGTCTCGGTTGAGAGAAATTGCCAGTTTGGCTCAAGGAGATAGATTTGTATAGAAAAAAAAGACACAAAACGTTTTTATGAGACTTTAGAAAAATCACATGTTGTGTATGTATTTTTGAATTTTTTTCTTCATCTCTTTCAAATAAATATTTATTCTGTGATTAAATTTGACAAAACAAAAAAATTAAAAAATATTTTAAAATAAATTTTATAAAACAATATAAATTATAAAATAAAGTCTTGTGTTTTTTATTGTATATGTACTAGATTTTTATAACAGTTTTATATAATTTATGAAAACAGTTTTATATAATTTATGAAAACAGTTTTATATAATTTATGAAAATAAGAATAAAAAATAATCTAAGAAATATAATTTGGTAGCATAGATTTGAACAAAATGTATTATAAGTACCTGCAACTTTTTTTTCTAATATTTGAATAAATATTTTGTATATATCTTTGTGCACATCATGAATAATACAATTATTTTCAAATATAATAATAATTGTGATTTTTCTTTGCAGCTGCCAATCCTGGTACTGTGGCTCAAACTTACGATTACGGTTACGGACGAGCTGCACCAGCAGCCACATACGACGCAACTAAAACCTATTATCAACAGCCAGCTGCTGCCGCAGCAACTTATACTACTACTGAAACACATTATCAGGCTGCCAAACCTGCTTACAGCACGACTAGTGCCTACACTGGCACTGCCAGACAAGCCACTACAACTGGACAGGCTAAAACTTATCAAGCATCTAGTACAGCTTATCAGCAATCAAACCCTACGCAAAGCGCTACTTACTCTTCAGGATATACAGCTCCAGCTACACCTGCTGCTACACCATCGACTGCGACAAATAGTAAGTTGTTTGTTTGTTTATCTTTTTCCCTTGTATGTTTTATCTCCAAAAATCTCCGGTCCTGTTTTGATCACTAACTGTGACGTAGGAACTAATAACATGAAATTGATCCTCTCACGATACGTGAAAAGATGCTAAAAAGACAAAAATTCACAAAAACTCTGCTACCATTCTCGAGCATGATAACAACTCGAGAATTTAGCAGAAGTCTAAAAATTTCTCTATCTATTCCTAAATTATGAAGTAAATTTTCGAGTACATTATCCTCTCGATGTTTTCTATCATGAAAGTCTTACAATTCGTATTTTAATGCATCTCGAAATGGATAACAGTAAAAAATTTGTGCGCGCAAAAAAATTACAAAAGATTTAATGGACCCCTCCAAAGTTTGAGGTTTCAATTTCATTTCCCTTAGAAACGGCGAGTACAACGTATTCCGGCTACGACGCAGCGCTATATAGCGCTGCGACTATGTATGTAGCCCAACAGAGTGCAAACAGCAATTCCACTAACCAGAAGACTGGAGGTTGGCAGGGCTACGGACGAAAGGGATTCGGAGCTGGCGGGGGAGGAATGAAAGCAATGCGGCCCAAGCAGCCTCCTAAGCCTCAGCAACTACACTATTGCGATGTCTGTAAGATCAGCTGTGCTGGACCGCAAACCTATCGTGAGCATCTCGAGGGTCAGAAACACAAGAAGAAGGAAGCTTCATTAAAGGTGCCGCAACAGCCCCCCGCACGTGGAGCAGGCAACAGCCTGCGTTGCGAACTCTGTGATGTAACTTGTACTGGGAATGATGCTTACGCCGCTCATATTCGGGGTGCTAAGCATCAAAAGGTGGTGAAACTGCATACCAAACTCGGAAAACCTATCCCGAGTGCAGATCCCACTGTTTTGAATCCGAAACCAGCAGCAGCCGCTAAGGCCACCACTACCAAGAAGCCAACAATAACAGCAACTCCTAAGATCAATTTCGTTGCTTGTAAGTAAATTTTGCGTTTTTTTTTTTTTTACAAAAATTTATCAAGATTTAATTGTATATTTATATTTTTATAAGCATTTATATGCATACGTACGCTTCTATAATACGTGTTTCAGCTGGGAATTTGGGTACAGTAAATCAAAATCAAACGGTTGAAGTAAAGCAAGAAGAGCCAGCCGCTGAAGAAACCGTGGAAGAAGCGACGGTCGATGAAAAAGATATTCAACCGGTCGGTCAAGAGTATATTGAAGAAAACAAATCTGAGGACGGAAAGATTATAAGTTTTAATTGTAAATTATGCGAGTGCCGTTTCAATGATCCTAATGCCAAAGACATGCACATGAAGGGCCGCCGTCATAGATTCGCCTATAAAAAGAAAGTCAATCCCGATTTGGTTGTCGATATGAAACCTAGCCTCAAGCAACGTAAAATGCTCGAGGAGAAGTTACGTAGGCAACAAATGCGCGACGAGTATTTACGTCGCAGGGAAGAGATCAATCAATTGGGACCTATGGGACCCATAATGGACGAAGAGATGATGTATTGGGAGGAAAGGCGTCGTTACGAGGAAGAATGCGAATATTATGAGTGGTATCGACGATACGGACGCGGTCCAGGTGCACCGCCGATTCCACGACCATTCCCAGGACCACCGCCTATGATGATGTTCCCGGGTCCACAGAGACGACCGGATTCATCGGACGACAAGCATGTATTGGCGCATCATACGACCATTTATCCCAAGGAACAAGAACTACTAGCAGTTCAGAAAATTGTCTCTCACACCGAAAAAGCATTAAAATTTGTGTCGGATGCTTTGGCTGAGGCTGGTGAGTAATAATTTGAATATTTTTATTTCGCAGATTCAGTCTACGAAATTATTTCGGTTACTAAGTCTTACATGCGCGGACGCGTGTTATTGCAGGCAAAAAGAATACTCCTGTAAATGCTAATGCTACTGTAGCAACACCAGCAGTGATCGGTACACCGCAGGCAAACGCGGACGCGTTGAAAAAGGATGAGGCTGATAAAAAGAAAGCAGTGACACCACAAAAGGAAGATGGTAGCGACGGGAATCTGTTTTCATTTCAAAAGGAAAAGGAAGATTCTAGGATACTTCGTGGCGTTATGCGCGTAGGAAACTTGGCCAAAGGGCTATTGCTATCTGGAGATAATCATGTTTGCCTTGTTGTTTTATGCGCTGAAAAACCGACAAGGTATTATTTAAAATAATTTTATATATGTGTTTTACAGTGTGTATATATAATATATGTGTATATATTATAATTTTATCATTGTTATTTGAATGTTATAGGACGTTGCTCAATAAGGTCGCTGAAATTTTACCTGGTGAACTAAAGAATGTGGCGCCTGAGGAAACATATAATGTCGGAAAGCATCCAGAATCTGCTGCTTTGACTGTCTCAGGTGGTACGGTTACCGTTAGCGTGACGCTTACCAGTCCCTTAATGCGTGAGACACCCAAGTCGACTGCAGCAGCAGGTGATTTCATTGTTTCGTATTTTTATCGTGGCCAAGAAAAGGATAACTATAACGAAAGCAAAGCGGAGTTTTTTACGGAATTATGCACCCTTTTTTATTTTCATGCCGTTTTCTTGATCCATTCTGCAGTTTACACATTTAGTTTGTTCTTTTCATGGCCCGGAAGATTTTCTGTAAGTTTTTTTTAAGCACCAGGACGATGGCCAGAGGCAGCCAAGGATGATTCGACGGTTGCCAGTGTACATAGGCTCTAACATAAAGTTAATTTCTTTCTCGATATAGCTGCGTGTCTTACTTAGTGTGTCCACGACAGAGTCCTCCTTGTGAAATACATTTTCTACTGTAAGAGGGTAAGCGACACTCGAGCGATATTGAGATAAAATTTTATAGAAAAGAGAGAGCGTAAACTTGATGTGGTTAGACACTGGTCGCCATTCTCGTATATTATACAACATTTCGTTTGTAGTAGCGGCTTTTTGCATACTTTGTTTCATTGATGAATATTCAAACTAGAGCAAACTATCATCGACGAACGATAATAATTAACGGGAGATTTCATCGAACGTGGACACACACTTGCGATAGGAAAAAACAACGCTGAGGCAATCTTAAAACTATGGACTTTTTGATCATGCATAAAAAAAGACAGAAAAATCCCTCTGACTGTTATCGAATGCTGTACGCATACATTCTGCGATGTGCATTACCACCATACCTCGGAATTAACCGATCGTTCTTTCGGCATCGGTGCTACCTACCTTTTAAGCGGATAGAGGTGAACAATACCGATGTTGATAAGGATCGTCGGACGTTCTTGAATGGCGGAGAAACGCATAATCCGATAAAAGAACGTTAAACGGGGGTCGAACTCGGTGTATTGCAAACGTACTACATTCGATCCAGGCTTATATTTCTTTTTTCACGTTGGCATTATATCACAATATTAATAATAGCTCACAAATTAAAGGTGCTTATAAGTTTAAATGAATACATACATACATACATATATAGAGGGAATATCTAAAAAATCTCTGGGCATGATCAAACACTCTAAGTGTTGTCTAAGCGTGTTGTGCTTTCTTTGTTGGAATCTCAGATAATGCTGGACAGCAGCAGCAGGAAGCTGCTCAACTGCAAACGACGCCCGCGGCCCCCACCGTGACCAAACCAGATCCACCAGATGTACTACCCAAGGCTAAGTGTTTGGACGCTTTAGCTGCACTCAGGCATGCCAAGTGGTTTCAGGTTTGAATCCATCAACTCACAAGTTCAAGATCTCGAATTGTCGAAGCGCCCACATTCTTATTTGGCGCTATATATAATGCATTTTCTTTTATTTTCTCCTGACGAGAAACGCGAGACAAGTTGTTCTCTCTCTTTCTCTCTTTTTTAAAAAAATAAGATCAAAACAAGAGAAAAAAACGAAAAAGAAAAAAGAAAGCAGTCTTAGAAACTTCCAGCCTTGTGACGGTTTTATTTTTATCATTATCCGACTTACGATTCTGTCTGAATTGCCTATTTGATCTCACGTTCGATATTTGTCGTTTTTATATCCGCTGAATTTTCGAACATCAGTGCCAGTCGGCTATGTCCACTGTCTTTTATAGAGTTTTAGAGATTTTTTACATTTGTGTTTCGCACGCGTAGACTACGTCTATTTGTGCATTGAAGTGCATGAGATATTATGCGATAAATAATTCAAAGTAGTTGGATAACAGTGGCATTGTCCGCACATTGGCTCTATCTGAAACAAATATAATCGAACGTATCGAACACGCGATCAGATATTTATCAGGCAAGAAATCTCAACAAGTAAGCAACATGTAAATGTGTATCTCGACAGTCACTTGCTGCCAGATGCATTTACATCTGCTTTGCTTTATGAATCTCTGCAATATCCAGAATAATAGGAAACTTGTTTTCTTGCGAGAAATATCAATTTCTAGTACAATTCATTATTTGCGTCTTTTAGAATGTATGTAATTTTCTTTATTTTCTTTATAATGCAGACCGCACGATTGCTTTACATAATTCAAGCATATAATTAATTATTCTGGATCGTCCTTAATGCGTTGTAGCCTAGGCTGCGTCTGTTCTAGGTCTGTCTTAATTTGAAAATAAAATCGACATGTATAGCGTACACAGTTTTTCTAAGATTATGTATTTCGTTCTCTTTGTACTCTATGATTACATGTATAATATTGTGCATTATCCGCACAGCTCTTGAACATTAAAAGAGACAGACAAGCACAAACACACAGTAGCGCGTCATAAGTGTACCGGGTGTTTTTGTAAATTAAGATTTGAATCCTAGAGATACTCTGAGATGTACAGTTTTTGAAAAGATACATATAAGTTCTAATACTTTTATCATTGCGATAGGTAATTAACGTTTAGGAAAAGTGATAAACACCCGGTAATATTGATATGGGCTAATACTATTAGGGGCATTAGGCACGAGGCTGGGAGGATAGCTAAAGCCCACACAAAGCAAAAATTAAAGAATTAGTTTAGGCCATCTTATCTCTCCAAAAGAGCCAAAAGTGCTTTCATTGCGTATGTTAAATCATAGTTTTTAAAATAATTAATCCTGTTCAACAGGCTAGAGCTACTTCGCTGCAGAGCTGTGTTATGGTTATCCGTATAATGCGTGACCTTTGCAATCGTGTGCCAACATGGGGTCCTTTAAATCCTTGGGTGAGTATAAAAGATGTATTATTTCTTCTTCTTGTATCCTTGTAATAATGTTTCCATCTTCAAAGAATCATAACTCTCAATATGTTATACAGGCGTTGGAATTATTGACTGAGAAAGTGATAAGTACTGCAGGTGGCCCTCTTAGTCCCGGTGAAGCTTTGAGAAGACTTTTGGAATGTGTAGCAGGAGGAATATTGCTGCCAAACAGTCCAGGTAATTTTTTAGAATCTCTCTACGCATATATTTTGTATTCTAATATCATGGAGATTTTTCCCAATTTTTTATGATGATAAAGATGACGAGACTGAGCATATTGTGGAGGATGATTGCAGATATCAAGTACGAGTATTTCGTTCTGTTTTATCGCAATCATGTACATTCCACAATAATGCGTAGATGATATGGCAATCTGAATTAAATAAAAATTATAATTATGCTGATCGAATCCACAAAAGTTAAAAAGTCGTTAATGATTGACGAAACGTTTCTTTGCAGGTTTATCCGATCCGTGCGAGAAGGAGCCGGTTGATGCAATAGGGAATATGACGTCTCAACAAAGAGAAGATATTACCGCGTCCGCGCAGCACGCGTTACGATTAGTGGCGTTCCGTCAGATTCACAAAGTCCTAGGCATGGAGCAGCTGCCCCCTCCGAAATTTAAGGGACGATTCGCCCGAAAACGAAGACGCGACAACAGCAACGGAGAAGGCACGGACAACGAAGCCTCGAAAAAAGATAAAAAAGCAGAGGAGATCAAAATGGAAACAGATTCAAAGTAAAAGATCTACCAAAAGAGAGATTCGTCTCTTACGAATTATTATTAACTTATCTAGTATAAGAGAAAAAAAAAACATTTTTTTTCGCCGTGTCGATTGCTTATTTAGGAAAAAAAATATCTTCGAATCGGTACAATTCGATTGATTAGGATATTCGTCACGACTTAGGATAATTCCCGAGTATATAATCCGAGAACGAATAAGGCTATAAGAATGATGCGCTTAATAAAACTGCAATGGCGGGAGTTCTTCGTCTTATCGCGTGTCTATGGAAAATTATTTACGTTATGGGTACGTAATGATATAATTGTTCCTTTTTTGCTATGAGATAAATTTAAACAGTTTAGATCGATGAGCGCATCGCGATATACATGATTAATCTTTTTATATTTCATTACAGATGTTAATGAAACTTACAAGAAAAAACAAACTCGATTTCTTGTTTTTAATATTATATTATGATTATAGTCACATTGCGAATGCGGAAATCTTAATGTATGGATATATCCATACGATTAATTGATATTATTATATTAACTATAAAATTACTAAATGCGTTCATTGATCTGAACTGTTCGGGTTTATGTCAGTCATGACAGATGTGCAGATTGAAGAAATCTAAACGATGAAAAGCGTAGAACGCGACGATGAACATGAGTTTGAAGTTACGAATAGGTAATAGATTGTATTGAGAATTTGTGTGTATGTTGTGTGTGTGTAGCCAGTACAGACGTTGTAGAAAATACTGTGTACTTCTCTCGTTTTCTCTCACTTCTGCACAAAGTGACAACCATTTACGGTGTACGCTATTATCACATGCGTGATTTACGCAAATAAAAGATATTTATAAGTCGATAAATCGGATATCTTGCAAATATCCGCTGTGGAACAAGTGCACGTGTTTTTTAACAGATCGCTCTTGTAGATCAACTTGAACTTTATTTACAGAAAGCGACAGTCAAAAGTTTAACGTTTCAACTTTCGAAGATTACCACCGTTAAGTGAATTCTTCCGACTTGTGTAGAGATTTTCTGTTCTGTATTTTCGAATCATTGAATAAAATAATACATGTACGATACAATTGCGAGCTTATTGATTCTAAAGGAATTCATTTAACAGATTATAAATTTAATCTAATTTCCACAATATTGTTTCCTCTTTCCCTAAACTATGTATGCCATATCCTATTTGTTGATGTTATGTTTATAGATCATTAATTATATTTTTGCAAGGATTGCAAGTTATAAATAATTAGAAAAAGGCCTAGTTTTCTTTTTTTCACAAAAATGTACGAGTGCTGGCTCAATCATTAATTTTTTAAAAAGTATTTTTAGATACATGTTTTTTATGTTTCCTGCCAATCATTAGTTTTATTAAATTTTTGTATAATATCGATTTAATTTTTATGAAAGTAATATTCAAAACAATTAACATTTATTGTTACATTTAATATAAAAAGAGTTTAAAAATAAAGTAAAAATAAAGTTTATTACAAATACGATCAAAAGACTGTCATCATATGATTGTGTTGCGTCAGTTTGCAAATGACGTGACTTGGCAATTCTATGAATTCAATTTCATGATTTTATGCGCGTAAATAATACGTCAGTTTCAGGATGAAAATATCTCGACAAAGAAACAGTATACCAATATTTTTATATCCATTGTATTCCTGGAAAAAATTTCATCAGAAGCTTCTTATGACGTAGGTTATAATGTAAAAGTGCGTAAGCTTTATATATAAAAGATACATAACATTGTATATAAAAATCTATCTCTAAATAATAGAGATTATTTAGAGATAGATTTTTATACACGATGTTATTTATTTTAAGCCTATCTCTAAATAATAGAGATTAAGAAACCATTGTCTCTATTCAAAGTATTGAATTTGTGACGCATTAGATTTTATTTTATCTTTTCAGTGCAAAATATAGAAATTATTCTCGCGCGTCAATAGCTCGAAAATCAAATTAAAAAATATCTATATACATCTTTTCAGTTTCTGCTAAATATAAAACGGATGATCACGAATGTCATGTAGCAGATATATACATGCATATAGATACATCGAGAATGCTCTGGAATATGACGTACGTTCTTTGTTATAAAGTCAATACGCGAAATTGCGCACGTAACGCGGACAACGGACCAATCAGCGGCATCGTCGACGTTTATCGGCCAATGAGACGCAAGCGCGTATTAGAGCGAGTCATCGGTATAAAAGCGAGCGTCTCGTCGTTCCCAGCTCAATAGTCGTTGAGAGAGATACGTTTAACGTTGTATCGAGTTTCTTTATTATTTGCGAGTCTACGATAACCAGAAGCTTTCACACAAAAGGTATGAAATATTTTTGCTTGCACAAAATTACGGTTATTGAATTTCTAATCCTAGTTGAAATATTTATGCGAGAAGTAAAATATATTTATTTTATTAAATTATTCAATTTGTTAAATCAATTATATAAATAATATAAATTATATAAATACGTTATATTTCGATAAAATCTTGACGAAGAAGCGGGCTTGATCAACATTTCGCGACTTTAATAATTCGTTATTGCTCTTAAAAAGAGTACGTATGTGATATCGATCGTTATGTCGGGTCTTGTCTGTTGCTAAGCAGAAAGATTGGCGTATATATTAATATTTCGAGACATAAATCGACAAGTTTTCTTCAAGTTTTTGTATCAGTTTAAAAGGCATATAGAAAATGAGAGCGTACAGATATAATATTTTAATCGATTAAACGTCTTTTACGAACATTATCTCTGAGTCACGAAATTGCATGAGTCATCCAACGCTTATTACGCAGCGATGAACTCGATCAAGATGGCGGCTTCTGATTTTAGCTACGTCACGTCCAGATTTTTCAATTTTTTTTCTATTACGGTTATTAATGTATCCAATTAAATATTTTAAAAGCAATTTTTATAATTTGAAATTTTATTGCAGAGCACCATGCAGATTTTTGTGAAGACGTTAACTGGAAAAACCATAACTCTCGAAGTTGAAGCCTCTGACACCATCGAGAACGTAAAGGCAAAGATTCAGGACAAAGAGGGTATTCCACCTGACCAGCAGCGTTTGATTTTTGCTGGAAAACAACTTGAAGACGGACGTACCTTGTCTGATTATAATATCCAAAAGGAATCCACTCTTCATTTGGTCCTCAGATTGCGTGGCGGAATGCAGATCTTTGTCAAAACTTTGACAGGAAAGACCATCACGTTGGAAGTGGAGGCATCAGATACAATTGAGAATGTCAAAGCAAAGATTCAGGATAAGGAAGGTATCCCACCGGATCAGCAAAGATTAATCTTTGCTGGAAAACAGCTTGAAGATGGTCGCACGCTTTCCGATTACAACATTCAAAAAGAGTCCACTTTGCATTTGGTTCTTCGTCTACGTGGTGGTATGCAGATTTTTGTCAAAACCTTGACAGGAAAGACTATTACTTTGGAAGTAGAGGCTTCTGATACGATTGAGAATGTTAAGGCCAAAATCCAAGACAAAGAGGGAATTCCTCCTGATCAACAGAGATTGATTTTCGCTGGCAAGCAGCTGGAGGACGGACGCACGCTCTCCGATTACAATATTCAAAAGGAATCCACTCTGCATTTAGTTTTACGACTTCGCGGAGGTATGCAGATTTTCGTCAAGACTCTCACCGGTAAGACCATCACATTGGAAGTGGAAGCATCAGACACAATCGAGAACGTCAAAGCTAAAATTCAGGACAAGGAAGGTATCCCTCCAGATCAGCAGAGATTGATCTTTGCTGGAAAGCAGCTCGAAGATGGCCGCACACTCTCCGACTACAACATTCAGAAGGAGTCGACTTTACATTTGGTCCTTCGGTTACGTGGTGGTATGCAGATTTTTGTCAAGACTCTTACCGGTAAAACAATCACATTGGAAGTCGAAGCATCTGATACGATAGAGAATGTTAAAGCCAAAATTCAAGATAAAGAAGGCATTCCTCCGGATCAACAGAGATTAATTTTTGCTGGAAAACAACTCGAAGACGGCCGCACTTTGTCAGATTACAATATTCAAAAGGAATCCACTCTGCATTTAGTTTTACGACTTCGCGGAGGTATGCAGATTTTTGTCAAGACTCTCACCGGTAAAACAATCACATTGGAAGTCGAAGCATCAGATACGATAGAGAATGTTAAAGCAAAAATTCAGGATAAAGAAGGCATCCCTCCGGATCAGCAGAGATTGATCTTTGCTGGAAAACAACTCGAAGACGGTCGCACTTTGTCAGATTACAATATTCAAAAGGAATCCACTCTGCATTTAGTTTTACGACTTCGCGGAGGTATGCAGATTTTTGTCAAAACTCTCACCGGTAAAACAATCACATTGGAAGTCGAGGCATCAGATACAATAGAGAATGTTAAAGCAAAAATTCAGGATAAAGAAGGCATCCCTCCGGATCAGCAGAGATTGATCTTTGCTGGAAAGCAACTCGAAGACGGACGTACCTTATCAGATTACAATATTCAAAAGGAATCCACTCTGCATTTAGTTTTACGACTTCGCGGAGGTATGCAAATTTTTGTCAAGACTCTCACTGGTAAAACTATCACATTAGAAGTTGAAGCATCAGACACGATAGAAAATGTCAAAGCAAAAATTCAGGACAAGGAAGGCATCCCTCCGGATCAGCAGAGATTGATCTTTGCTGGAAAACAGCTTGAAGATGGTCGTACACTCTCTGATTACAACATTCAGAAAGAATCTACTTTGCATTTAGTCCTCAGGCTTCGCGGCGGTATGCAGATTTTCGTCAAAACTTTGACAGGCAAAACTATCACTTTGGAGGTAGAAGCTTCAGATACAATCGAGAATGTCAAGGCGAAAATTCAAGACAAAGAGGGCATTCCTCCTGATCAGCAGAGATTGATTTTTGCGGGCAAGCAACTCGAGGACGGACGCACATTGTCAGATTATAATATTCAGAAAGAATCCACATTACATCTTGTACTTCGACTTAGAGGCGGGAATGTCTAATTCTATAATTGTGATTTTATTTCTGCTAAGTACCTTGCGCTCAATATACTTTAATTTTATTTATATAATTCTGTTATAAAGTTATGTTATAATAAATTTTGAATTTTATTTGTTCAGATGTGAAAATTTTGTAAAAGCTTTAATCAATAAAGAATTAATTTTTTGAGACTATTAATTCTGTATTTTTACAATTAATTTCGTATCTTATGATTATTTACTTTAAAAACATAGAATTATATAAATTATATATTTTATGATATTTAAAAGAGTGCGTTTATATGTGGTAATTTAATAAATATGTATTTTCAATAATCGCAGAATATATATCGTGGAAATTTTGCTTATATTCTTTGAATATTTTTAATCTGAGGAAATTACAATAAAGAGAATATGAATAAAATTAAACAATTTTTCTGATAATTGAAAACTTGTGTAGCATATATAGCAAATATCATTAATAGATTAACACTCCAAAATGATTACTTTTATATACCTTACTCTATACAATAATTTTTGTTTCTAATTTATATCTTAAATATAAATTGGACATATTAATTTTCAAGTAAAAATCGAAATAGGAATTCTAAATTATCATTTTATATCGCTAACTTTATATCGATAATCGTTTATTCACAGAGAATGCTTAGATTGAAATATATTCTATATCGTGCTTTAAATATTTCGACATAATTTATCGATCTTTCGAATTAAGAATACACAGTAATACACTAATGAAATGATTAAAGCGAGAAATAGCTATAAAACGGATTAATCGTTTATTAATAATTAATTTGAAACTCACGAAGAATATTTCATAGCGATAAATAATTAACCGTCGCGCGGTAAATTTTTGTGACCTGCTCTATTATAGTAGTGACGTGGTGACCTTTTATTAAAGGTCAATCACATACACTCGAGTCGGCGAGTTGTAACGTAAGACGCTCCGTACGTGATACGTATTATTTGTTAAAATATAATAAAATATAATTGCGAGGACTATCGAGAAACGTCAAACGTTACAATACGATAAAATACGCGTAGCGATTAACTTGAAGTTGAAAATATCGTGTGAAGTGTGAAGTGCGAATAAAACTATATCATATTTAAATGATTAGATTTAGGTAATGTTAGGCGCGCAATTGTATTAAAATTACGTTTTCTCGAGTATTTAATTATATTTTCACGAGTAATTAATTATGTTTTCGCGAGTGAGTGCCATGAAAAAGCAGCAGAAAGAACAAGAGAAGCGAGCTCGAAGAGGCATCGGATAATGGCAAAGTAATTGAAATGAAATATAAAGGTAAGCAATACTTCATAATTTATTTAATTTGTGCGCTTCTCTTTCTTAAAATTAATTATTCATTGTTTATTTCCGCGATAGTGCTCTACTTTAGATCATTATTTAATATAATATAAAATATTTAACATATGACATGTAAAATATTGTACGCGTAATATCTTTTTTAAATATTAATTATTTTAGACATTATTTCTCAGGTAGCAAGATGACGTCTAAAGATGTCTTAATAACGTCATTAAAACGTTATTAAGATATAATTTGATATTATTCTGCTACTTGGATTTATAATGCCCAAAATTTAATTAAAATTTAATTTTTATATATCATTTGTATAAAATATAATATATATGTTTATTCAGATTTATTTATTCAGATGTGAAAATTTTATAAAAGTTTTAATGAATAAAGAATTAATTTTTTTGGAAGTATTAATATTCTTTTTACAACTAACTTTGTATCTTATAATTATTTACTTTAAAAAATAGAATTATATAAATTGTATTTGTTTTGTAATTTCTAAAAGAGTGCACTTATATGTGATAATCTTTTTAATGAATATGTATTTTCAATAATAATCACAAAATATATATTGTGTAAATTTTGCTTGTATTTTTTGAATATTTTAATCAGAAAAAATTCATAAAAAAATAAGAATATAAATAAGAATAAACATATATATATATATATATATATATATATATATATATATATATATATATATATATTTTTATGAGTCTTTAAAACTTGTGTAGCATGTAAAGCAAATATATTATTAATAGATTAACACTCCAAAATAATTACTTTTATATACTTTATTCTAAGCAGTAATTTTTGTTTCTAATTTGTATTTAAGATATAAAATATATGTGTACATTTACAATCTTGAAATAGAGAACGAAAGAAAACAATGTGAAAAAAATAATTTTTAGAAGGCATAGCTAAATAGAGATAGATGGAACACTTAAAAAAGAAAGCATGTGTTATAATAATAATGAGTAATTAATTTATAATTTTTATTGTGTTTATGATTTAAAGTTTTAGATTTAAACAAAATTGTATATAAAAAAATCCTTGTAATTATGTTTTTGCAATTTTTACGTGCTACTAACTCTGATTATAATCTTTTTATATTTTGTTGATATTTCACAATTTCAATATATGCAGCTCGAAAATTAAATATCGGTTAATCAATATGAATAATTAACCGATGTCGATAAATATCAATATGTTTGTACACAACATAAACATATTAACATAGACTTGCTCATAAGTTGATGAAGGGTATGATTGGTATGTCTGTCTTTCTCTGACATACGCATGATGCAATTTCAAATTATTAAAGTCACGCATACTAGTGCGTTGGTACGTTCATTAGCGAAAGACAGACACACAAGTATAAATTCATGCTATCCTTTTCTCTCAGGAGGACACTCCACTTCGGGCTTTAATGCCTCATAAGCAGCCTATATTAATATGTCTATGGTAACACATAATATACAAACTGCTAACATTTAAATTCTAAAATATTAGGAAAGAATTAGGAACATATAATAAGCAAAGAAGTGGCACGAAGAAAAATTCAAAGTTTCCATTTCACGGTATCATATCGGTAATTTATCGACCTTTGATAATAAACCGACGCCGGTAAATTGGTAATTGTCGATTGTCGGTAACTCGTCCACGTCGGTATTGCGAATTGCAACTTTGAATTTTTTTGTTCGTACTACCTCTTTGCTCATTATATTCTCCTGATACTTTCCTAATATTTTGGAATTTAAATGTTAGCAGTACGCATGTTACCGACGTTGCTAAATTACTAGCATTGATAGTTGACGGCCTATAGATTTAAATTTCGTTCGTGCCACCTCTTTGCTTATCATATTCCTTTAATATTTTACTAATATATTTCAGAATTTAAATGTTAGCAGTTCTCATGTACCGACGTCAGTAGATTATCGATCAGCACCTATATAATTCACAAACACTTATGATTCTAATATAGTTATATTTATATTAAAATTGTAAACAATTATATGTTTGAAATTTACTTTATAATTAATTTATAACTATATAATTAACTATAAAATTACAATCAATTTTATATATATAAATATACATAACTATATAATTCTAATTTTATTCTGTTTATAATTTTAAAATATTAACAAAATTACTAGAATGTAATTACCAAAGAGATGATTGTGCAAACTAAAATTTCAGAATTTTTTACATTTATTTTTTAAAATCGTTTGTGTTTGAATTACGAAAATTTAAATTCTCTAAAATTATGCTAAGAAGAACGTCACTGAAATTAGGGAGCTCAATTTTCAGATGGTATAAATAAAAACTACAATTATTTTAATTCTAAAGATCTTTATTTTAATTCTAAAGATCTTTATTTTATTTTAATCTTTCTCTCCTCTTCACATTACAAATAATAGACTATGATCTAAAGTTACGATAAATTAATTTGCTACGGCTCGATTTTAATCTTTATAAATAATCATTATAACGTGAAAAAAATATATCTTAGAGAAAATTAAAAAACAAGGAACGGAGATAAATAAATCGATTTATATTGAAACGTTGACTTAAAAATGATTTATTCTCGATAATATTCTTCGATGCGTATCAATTCAATCGCATAGTTTCCGAGGCTAATTAATAGGGCAAATTGCATTATTTCACATGATTATATTCATTTTTATTTTTCATTATATTCATTTTTATTTTTCATTATGAAAAATAAAAATGAATATAATCATGTGAATATTTTGCGATATAATGTAAAAATGTTTTCTCATGTGTAAAAAGATGTAATTATAAACTAAAAAGAGATATTTTTTTAATGAAAAATGGGAATGGGAGCGAGTCGCGAAATATCCGAAAATTTATCCCGGCGTTTTATCGATACAGATTTCATCTTATTTTCCAGAAATAAAAACGATCGTCGTATAACTGTACCGTTGCTGCGTGTTTCACAATTATTTGCGCTTCAATGGCTGCGGTGTGCACGCACAGGCGAAAAGACTAAAATTTTCACGCGCCAGCGAAACACGAACGTATTTTTTTCCGGCCGTACATCGCGCAATTCGATAGCCAGGTAAAAGACAGAAAAACACGTAATTTTGATAACGTATTTCTCTCTCATTTTTATCGTATCTTTCGAGAACAACGAAGTGAATACAATTATTATTCGCTTGCGAAAAATTGCAAAGCTCATAATTGCAACAGAATTATTTTTCATTTCATTATTTCGCATACCATTTTATATTTTAAAAAAGACTCTTTATGGTATAATCGAGCGGAATAATAGCAATATTTTTTTTTTTACAATTGCATTCGAAATGTTGTGCTTGTAGACAAATAAGAATTTTACCGCAATATGTTCTTTCCACGACGATTGGCTCAATCTTCCTTTGACGATCCCGCTTCCGGCACACATATACGCGATACACATTGGCAGTGTTTATACGAACGTTTCAGGTATGTGTGCGTATGCGCATGGTTAATGGTTGTAAAAAATGTTATTCACACGAGAGGCTGGCAACTCGCATGCTGCGTATCACACGTAGCAGCGAGTCGTGTGTACCTTAGGTAGGGCTGAGAGAGAAGTCGTAGGGAGCACCGTGAAAACACACGGGACTTGTATTCAGTCCAACTCGATCCTCGAACTGGTCCCGTGTGCGTGGCGTGTGATCGCGTCAGTTGCAGCATCCGCGTGATACTTGACATCGTTCGTTTCGCGTTGCGCTTCCTTGCGACCAGATACCGCGAGATAAGCTTTCCAGACGCCAAGTCAAAGTATAAATCACATTTTTCTGTGTAGTTTTTGAAAAGCGGACCTCGCAAGCGAGCGATTAAGCTCCGTTTTGTCCCACATTTCTTGATGATTCTCCGAGGAAAATAATCTAAATTTCTTCTTTCAAATTAAAAATCTTTCAAAAATCATATATCGTGTATTTTAAAAATAGATTTGGAGAAAATATATCGAGATGAAAATGCAGCTCCGTATATATTTCACTCTTATAATTTTAGAAACAAAATTCGAGACGTTAAAATTTCTATGAAAATTTATTCGTTATGTACTTATTTTTTTATTTTGAATTTTGCGTCTTTAAATAATTATTGGAAAAAATATATGAAAAGGTTGTCATATCTGCTGGATCACTTCTTATAGTTTATAGCATTGTTTATATCATCTGTTTTAAAACTGATAAACAAGCGAGGCAAATAATGACCTAAAGGACAGAAAAAGGTCGACGGGATTTGACTTGGTTTCTTCTTGAGTTAACTCGTATTGATAAAGCGGACAATACGACGGGAAGGTTGAAGCTCGTCGATACGAAATCGAAACGAGTAGTGGTTCGCGAGACAACAGATCCATCAGCGAAGATGAACGGCTTGACGGTTTGTTTGGTACTCCTCTCGATGATGCCGGGTAAGTTTGTAAGATAGATAGATAGATTGATAGAAAGAGAGAGAGAGAGAGAAAGAGAGAGAAGGAGATATATATTTCTATTAACTACAAAATCCACAGAAAATTATTACGTTTTATAATTACACGCTATGTACGGTCTTGTCAAGATGATTAATTAGCGACAGTCTGTAATATTTCTTTTATCTGAATTTTAGTCCTTTAATTTTAATCCTATTAGCTTGAAAAAAAAACGTTGGATTAGATGCGCAAAGATTTTAATCGTATAAAATAAATAATAATCGATAAAAGCGACGAACACATTAATCCTATATTTGATAAGAATTAGTTTCTGTGTAACCGAATTTCTTTCACTAAATATTAGGTGACATTCGAAATATTAAAGACATCATTTTGCTCGCGAAATTTAATTTTCACAGCTGACGCTTATTTGATTATTGTTTAAAAAGATGAAATAGAAAATACAATTTCCAATTAAACGCCCATCAAACGAATCGCCAAAATGAAGAGATAGACGAAACAAATAATTAAAGAAATAAATGAATAAAAAGATCTTGAAAGATTTCGAGGATAAAAATGTTGAAAGTTTTGGTAAAAATATAATATAATTTGTATTTCAACACATTGTTCGTGTTTTTTTTTTTTTTGATCGATGAAAATGTTTGTTGAAATTACTCACACAAAATGTTTTGAAAATCATGTATAAATTTAAAATATTCGAGACTAAAAAGAGCAATTCAAGTAGTTTGGTATATGCAAAGAGTTCTTCTCTTTCTCTCTCTCTCTCTCTCTCAGCGAATGTATGTTTTACATCGAAACACCTTTTGCTGGCAAAAGTCGTGTAAAAATTAAACTCTGGAAATAGAAATAAAAATATTGGATGAGTTGTCAGATATGTTCTTGCTCTGTATTCAGTTCGTGTTTATAAATTTGAAATTCGTTTTTTTTATCGTACACTGTCTAACTGTAGCAAAATATGGATTATTATACCGCAACTCTAATATCTCGACAACAAATTACAAATATAATCATACGAGCGTTATATAGGGTGTCTTACAATACCAGCTTTTCCATTTATGAATTTCTCGGTTAATTTTATAACAGAATTTCAAGTGCTCTGTCTTTTTGATTGCTTGACAAATCTAGATTTTGATAAATTAAACTTTGCGTCAGATGTAAAGTAAGATTTTGTCATTGATTCACACGCTTTAATTTCCGAAAATATTTACATCTTTGCATATTTTTGTAAAGCTTCGAAGCCGTTGCAAGTTTCTTTGATCGAGAAATTTAGATTTTTCATCTGCGTATTATCGTGAGAGTATCGACGCGTGAGAGGATATAACGCTGGTCCGACAGTTTTTTACGGCCATTTTTGCGCGAAACCAGCTGCGAGCCAGAAGCCGAGGAATCTGACGCCTTTGGAAGACATAATCCGATTTCTTTCGACATCGAAAGAGATATCGTCGCTTCGAGATGAAGGCCTTTTCTCGCTTTCCTCCTCTCGTGTTGCGCGTTTGCTCGCTTTCTTTTGTATTTTCTCGCCGTTCTAATGGTTTCGACCCGGGCTAAATATAGAGAGGCGTCGTACAAGGGTCCCTCCCGCTGACGGGTCAGAAGTAACTTGTCGCTATTAGCGGACGAGGGTCGAAAATGCGTCGGTGCGGAGATCGTGGGATAAACTTGACGCAAACTTCAACCGCGAACGATACGGAATTGGGACGCGGTGGATTTATAAAATTTTCTCCGCGTCGCGGCTTTTTTCGGGAAATATTCCGCGCGAGAAAATAGGATTTTGTTATTTCGGAATCGCGAGATAAAGCGCGCCCATCCATTTGGACAAATAATAAGAAAAAGAGAGCGCGCGACTCGATTCTTCGTTTCGGTTTATTTTTCGAAGCGAAAACAAAATTGCAATTTATTTGAGGAAGAGATTAGCCCTTAATTCGTCAAAGAACCGGTCATTATCATATATATTATCTTTACTTATTATTACGGTTCTATTATTCCGATTATTCCGCTGTTCCTTCCTTCCTTAAATTACGACGCGCCATCAACGTTCCGGCTCCAACTTTGAAAACTGGAGCACTTCCTTTTTTTCGCGAATTTTTCCATCACTTTTTCAATAATTCGAAGCTGATAATAGACAGGCAGTCGAGAGTGAAAAGATGCGTTACGCGATAAATTCTCGTCGATCGTGAGAATCTTCATTTTCCCTCAACCCCGCAGCCCTTTCGCCTCGAAATCAGCATCGGCGTTTCTGTCCGGTTTCAACTGAATTCGCTTTCTCACGGTACATTGATTCCTTCAATTCGCTCTGTTACGGGCAGACTCCATTTCCCAAATTCCGCTTCGTTGTTCCCTTACTGTCATAGCAATTTCTCTCCTCTGTCCGGTTTCAAATATACGAATTCGCAAGTTCAAAGCAATCTAGCGCCGTGCTTTCTCCTTAAAGATCGAAGAAATAATACGGCACGCGGAAAAGACTCGCACAAACACTCTTCCTTGCGATTCCATTCGACGGTTTTCTTAAACGTTCTCTTTTATTTGCGATCATGCGAGATTCAACGAAGTTTATCTTTTATGATACGCGCTGCAGGAAATGAAAGAGCGTCGTCGCTATTAACATGAAAAGTATAACAAAAAATCTGATTTAATAATTCGACCCGTTACAATAAAATAAATCTTTAAAAATATATATATATATATATATATCTTTATTTAACCGTCTTTATTTCTAACAAAGATCAATAATGCGTAAAAAATGCATGGCAAAATGCAAACAAGAACGAATCGAGAGAATCGTATCGTATCAGGTGTTCTAGATCGTTACATCGATATTCGCAAATAATAATTGCTTCGCAATTTTGCCGTCGGATATTTTTCTCTCATCGAAAGCGAGAACACCGAGTATTTCGCGCGCGCGAGAAGTTGACGTGTGATTATCGATGATTATATTTTCTCGATCGCGACTCGGGCGAGTTGTAGCGCTTGTTACGCTACCCGTTGTTTAACCTATTATTTTTCATCGGAATCGAGTTACGAATTAATAGAACACACGCAAGTCGAAATGTTTGCGGTGCGATCGACTGGATAAAAACCGATCTGTCCCGTAGAGCTAACGGCGGCAACAATTTGCACATGTATATATATAACATATACATCCGCAAAGCTGATCCCGGCGTATTCGGGATTTTTCACCAATTTTTCGATTTCAACGTATATTTTTCTTTATTTTCTTCCTCTTTTTCCCTTCCCCCCCCTCCCTCCCCGCGTGATCCCACATCCATTATGTATGCTAATAAGTTTTGTAACTCGGTACGCACGCTCGGCGGTGCCTACCATGTGCCTTGTTTGCTTTAGCGAAACATACGGGCGATAAATCGCGTTGAAACTGGCGCGTAATTGCACGCGTGTCCGCAGTTCGTCTCTCGGTAAGTGCGTATCCCCTTCGAAATTCGATCTCGCGATCTACGATTAAATTCAACCTCGGAGCGACGAACAATTATCTATTAAACAATTAGGCTCTTAAAAAGAGTCTCGCACTTTACGATACATTTTGGGAATGATTAAAAGTAAAAATTATTGACAATTGTTGCAATTTTTCATCAAAGGATGACGCGATTCTTATCGGCGAGATAATTAATTAATTAATTGCTAATTTTTTTCTCATTTTGCACGCGATAGAAATTTGGAGAGACGGCGAGAAATGGGAGTGGCATTAACATTTTTTTCCGCGGATTTAATATTTTCGACCGACGTTGTTCCGCTTAAATTCCCGCTTGTTGCACGTTTTCCTAATTGAATCTGCATTTCTGATCGGCGCGGCAATCGACCGCAAACTAATGCGATGATATACACGTACGCACACGTACGAGTATCACATGCGCATGTATTTCCATATGCATGCGTCCTGGATAGATGCGGGTACATTTTCGGTATCCCGGTGGATGCATTTCATTTTGACCAAAGCGCCCTTTTACATTGTGTTATTCCGACGCACGAATACCGAACACCGAAAATGCTTTACGTTCTATTGTTCGCGAACTTGCCAATTTATATCGGAGCGAGCCCCGTCGTCACCGCCGGAAGATAATGGCGCTCTAACGCCTTACGTTATTTATGGTTACAACAGGCACGCCGAAACACAATGCTAATTAATTTCCGTATCGACGATATCGATTGAATTTACCGCGTATAAATTCGTCGCTGCGATTCCACACATTTTTCTGAGAATTCGCGGTCCATCGCGCGCGCGATGAAACATTTTCAACGAAACGTCACTCATCGACGATAGTTTGTTTATTGTTTGAAGATAAAGTTTGATTTGACGTCCAGAAGCGATATTTTTTATATTTATATAATCCGCACTTTTCAATAACATTTTGCAAAAGTAATGCACACTGAGAAAAAATCTGGTTGCATTAATTAGAATTCTGATAGATTCAACCAGTATGTCTGTTGGAAAATGGACGAATCAGAATTCTTGTAGGAATTACCAGATGAATCTGATTAATTTCTTCCTGTTAAATTTGCCAAATTTTCTGGTTAATAATAATAAACTGTTTCAAATTTGCAAAAGTTTAGATATAGATGAAATATTTGGTCAAATAATATTATACAAGTACTAACTGGTTAGAAAGATATTAAATATAATTTAATGAAGTTAGCCACGTAACTGTCACAAGGCGAAATTCTCTGCCAAAGGTTAATCATTTCGATTAACAAAATTCGGAATATTTCAGTAAAAACGCAATAAATATTAAAATTGTAGATCAAATTGTAATATTTTTACACACAATTTCTTACTCAAAATATACCAAAAGTGGATATATTCGTCAATATTGATTTTCAGCTACTTTTTGCTAGGATTGTACATACAAAACGTCCTTTCTTCCTGTTAAATTTATCAAATTTTCTGGTTAATAAACTCGCCAGCACCAAAGTCGCCTAAAATTTTTTCCATCTAATCTCAAAAGTCTGTTTAATATTCTGAATTCCAACAC